GCGGTAATCCCGCCAAAGTAGTAGATTTTGGGTGATATATTCACATTAAATTTCGAACTGAGCGTATAAAGATTCATTCCACGGGATTACCTCCAAGGTGGAGTATTAATTACCGTGGAGATTACAAAGCGGAAATTCCAGAACTGGAGTATCTTCTACCAGAGACTACATGGAGAACGCTTAGAGGTACATAGATGAGCCGGATCCCTAGCAGCTGTAGCAAAATATTAGCAAGATACGGGTCCGAGCTATTAACTAAAAGTTGTGCTGTCACATATGGAAACATCATACGACATAAGTACACACTCACCTAACCCTGCCTTTATTCGGACCATCAAGGGGCGATTCACTGCTGTTTGGCAAAAAGACAGCAGTCTTCGGTTGTACCAAAAACAGCCAAAGCCTGTCAGGAAGCGCCGACAGTGAAGTAAATGTTTGGCGACAACCCTGTAGAAGTTGCTTCAACTGTGCTATAAGGTAGAAGCAAATGCTGCAGTCGGATATAAATAATGGCTAGCTCAGTGTAGCAGTTGCTGGCGATATGCGCTTGGGTTCACGTTGCAGACAGTTTTGGTCCAGAATTTGGACATGTTTCTTTCACCAATATTTTGTCCTGAGAAAAAAAAAACGTAACCGTCGTCCCCAAAAACTACCTGAGTCATCCGCCGACTTAAGCATCTCGACAAAGTTCGATAATCAGAGAAATTAAAAGTTGTGACAAACAAGGCAAGAAGATAGATGTATGATCACTCGCAAATGAGATAGGGTTTTAGACGAAAGACCTTTCATACAACAAAACGTCCATAAGCCGGAAAACAGGCAGTAATCGGAAGTGGGCACATAACCCGAAGGGTAGAACTCTGTAGAATAGTCCAAATAGCGGTGTTACTTACTTCTGACATCCCATTAATGGCATTACCGACTGTAAGAGTTCAGGCAGGCTGGGAAAATCAAATCTAACTCCAAGAACAACTCATTATCTTATGATTAGCTCTTCTTTTACCTTAAAGTTGTTTATTATTTCGTTCAGTCTAACGTTCGTTCTGGGTGTGGGATTGGTCAATTATGCAGTAAAAGTAATAGGTAGAATTCAACAGTTGCAATCAGAGAAGTGCAAATTCCTTGCCTTAATTAATTTTATTTCCATCGAAGCACACGTTTGCGGATACAATATCGAGCGTGATTCGCTTTTACTCGAAAAGAATGCAGGTTCAGAAATACTTGATATATATATATATATATATTTGGGCAGAATGAAATAACCGACAAAGACAAGGGAGACTGGAATGGCAATTTCTGGTTTATTAGCCGTCGTCAGCCAGCCATACCCAAGCCCGAAGTGTGGAACACCCGAGCCTCGAACTCGCGACCTGTTGGTTTAGAAGTCCACGCATCTACTCAACGGGCCACGAGCCCGTTGCCCTTTTGGTTTTCGATCGGGAATATACAATGGTAGGGGCGCTCACCGATCGTTCATACGGAACTCACTCGTCCCGTTGTGCCTTAAGGGCTCTCTCTCTCGAGCCCAACCAGCAGCCGCCATTCGGCCTATATATATTGCGCCGCTGTGCGCTGCTGTGCGGCTCGCCAATATCAGGTCTACTAGCTGAACTAGTACTACAACAACTAGAAGAGGAGGTTATGCGAACCTTTAAACCAAAAATGTGGCTCAGATACGTAGATGATACGTTTGTTATCATGAAGACCTGCAAAATTGAGCACCTACACCTGAGTCTGAATAGCGTGTTCCCAGCTATCCAGTTTACTTGCGAAAAGGCAACAGGAGGCATTCTCCCGTTTCTAGACGTTAGTATCCAAACACTAAGTGATGGCGGCCTTGCAACAAGCGTCTACCGAAAAGACTCCAGTGCTGACGTCATTGTTAATTATGAAAGCAATCATCCTGCGGCTCATAAAAGGAGCTGTGTCCGAACCCTTTTCCACCGGGCCTATCGGTACTGCAGCAGCGACGATCTACGTAAGAAAGAACTCGCTTTCCTGTATCGGTTATTCCGGATACCCGGTCAGCTTTGTAAAAAAATTGTCTCAGGCATCAAAGACAACCACAAGGCTTTGGTTCTAATGAGGGACCAGAACATCGG